GGTCCGAGGGGGGGGGGGGGGGGGGGGGGGCGGGGGGGGGCAGACGGAGCAGTAACATTAGGAACAGACGGAAATTCAATCCAATCCGATTCACTCCCGATTATGGCGCTTTTTCAAAGTGCTATAATAATTCTTATGTAATTAGTTTCGTTTTTAGTGAATAGAGAAATGTTCAATCTCTTCAGAGAAAACAAGGGAACTTTTTTATGACCATCCTACCTCGTGTGATAAGCTCAATGTGAAAAGACTTTTCTTACGCCAAGAATCGAGACATCTCATTTTATTTGGCCTATTTGCAATGTTGAAAAGATACATTTTAGGTTTATTTTCTCCACTACATTTCTTTGACCTAAAATATTTTGAATAAATAAAGCAAAAGAAATTCAATCATACCGAATTTCTTTGGATGATGTTTGATATTCTCAAGTCTAATGTTTCTTGGAGAAGTCTTTATTTTAGAAAAGTTTCATTTTCCGAACGTTATCGAGTCAGTAGTTAGAAAAAATTTAAAACATTTCTAAAAAAGCTCATATCGATAGAAATTTCCATGTCGGCATTTGTTTTTGTTTCATTCCTATATATTCTATCTAACTAGCTCAACATAATTCAGAAATACAGAAGTTAAAACATGGAAAACGCTACAAGAACTTCTTTCAGATATTTTATTTTCGGGCTTTATCTCTTCGTCAAGTTCTCTTCGGAAAAATGTATCTGATATAAAATATCTAACTCAGGCATTGCTCCTTCTAATAAAAAAATCTTGATGCAGCAGACAACAATACAGCATTACGAAATTCGACATTGTTCATATGGCTATTGATTGTGACGGGGTTCGGCGAGTCAAGCTTTTTCTCGAGTCGAGTCAAATTGTTTTAGCATTTTTCTCTTTGTACTTATTTTAATAGAAAAAGGTTTATCATAAATTTTCATTACACGATATTTAGTTCCTCGAATTTTGTACATAAACAAAAATAAGAGAAATCAAATTTAAGATAAAAGTGTGTTGGTGTAGGTTTCGATGAGGGTGTGGGTACCAGCGTGAATCTTCTGTTCTCTTACATGCACCCACGCCCTATTCCAAATAGCTGCCACGATCAATGAAATAGCAATCATTGCGCCTATTGCTTTCAATCTACTAACTGCATTTCGCATTCATTGATTTGAGAATAGTTTGCATGCCATCCTATCCATGTATATGCGTAAAATTCTTGTGGTGGATGAATACAATATGATCGAAGTCATTGCTTGTACACACAATTGATCGCTTACAAAGTCCCATAATCTCAGTACAAACATTGTCAATTGAAAGCAGAACTAAATTAGTCATTGTCACACTAACTGTGGATCACTATAAGGATCACGATCATGACTTTGTGCCATAAGTAACCAATAATTGATAAAATTCATCAAGCAGAAGATGAAAACAAGGACTGCTGTCATTTTAATATCTCGTTTGGTAATGTGTGGAGCAAATAAATGTTTGGCGAAAGCATATCACAGTGACATCAAATGCATAAACTGCATTGAATCGGTATACTTGAGATAATGTTTGTTATTTTTACAATAAATCAAGAATAACAAATGAAAAAAGAATCTCATTCGAACACTTGTGGAAAACATCAAACAAAAAAGAATGATCAAGATAGATTTTCAACTGATTCATGATAAAATCATTAATACATTTTAAAATAAGAACTGTTACATGATCAATTGCCAGTAAATTACGGATAAGAGTAGACCGAACAGCAGATATGATCGTGGTGAGAGCAACTTAACTTTGAATTCGAATCGTTTCTTAGTCGAGGGGCATCGGACTTAAGAGAGTAGTAACATTGAATTGAGCAATGGTATTGTTTACTGATGTATTGCACAACTTGCAGAATTCATTAATTGTTTGTTCGACAGCACGAAAACTTGGAAGAATACCGTCGTCTGAATTTGATGAAGTAAATTTTCGATCAACGTAGATTGAATCCATCCATGTCTACAATATAAATGGACTTGAATAAACTTGACGAAATTATATGTTCACGATCGTAAATGCTTCATATGGAATGACAAGTGTAGAACAGAGACATACGAGTGTTGATGAATAAAGTTCAAATAAATTTTCAAATTCTTTTTGAGATGGTAAACGTACATATTTATTTGTCGAATGAACAATGGATAAAGCAAAAATACCGAAAATAAAGATTAAAATAAATATTGAAATTATATAGATACTTGTAGACAATTTTTCATGTTTTATGAAGTCTTTACGATTCGAACCAGTCTTGATTAAATTGATTTGTCGAAAGTTATACCATAGTCGATTTCCTTATTTATTCGTCATGCCTTAAGCTTCGTTTATTACACTCAAAAAAAATAGTTGTAGTACGCAATTTGTCAAAGGACGCAAAATGTGCATCACATGATTCTCAATATCATATTCTAAAGTGTTATAAGATATCTGTGCGACGCATTAATGTTTATATTATAGAACTAGGATGATAATTCACTTTTTCGAGACGCTTTGTAATTTAATGATGAAACATCTTTCTTTCAAAGTATAGAGAAAATACATTTCAAAATGGGAATTGAAGACCATATGGCGAAAATAATTATTGCTATATACATAATGATGTCATATGTCAACTAATTTACTGATAGTGAAAAACTGTCATGGTCAGCCAGATAGAGACCTGCGGGAACAAGTTTTTTTGGTTCCCGTCCCGTAACAAAAATTTTGTTCCCGTTTCCATAATACTTTGAGAATAGCTACAATGATTTCATTATTCACATTCATCGAAACTACTCCTACTTGATACTAGCTTTTAGCGACCTCATGTTTCTCACAATACAAGATTCCGTATATTAAAACTAAATTTCTCATTCGAGGATCATAAATTTACTGAAACTTGAAATTTCAATTGAATTCAAGCTTCAAGTTTGACATATATGTAATCTTGATGATCTCAGCTTCGATGTCGACGACGACAATGGTGGTAAAGAATATCGTGGTTCTCATAATGTATGTTTGAATGAACTTGTAGGATTTTGTTGATTGATATTTGTTATCTTTTCAATTATATTTCAAATAGTTATTGGAAATCAAATACTGTAACATTAACAGATTTTAATGCTAACAGAAATCGGACATAAGGTTTGCCGGGAACAGAAATTTTTTAATACGATTCCCGTTCCCGATTCCCGCGGGAAACGGGACGGAAAAACAAGGGAAAAAGTCGTTCCCGCAGGACCCTACAGCCAGACCAATATATACTTTTAATCAATATAACATGATATTCACTTGAAAAAAAATATATTAAGTTAACGAGTAAAGCCAAGTAAATGATAGTTTCGAACTGACAGTGTTTTCCGAAGATTCAGTGTTCGATTCTATAGAAAGCCGTAAATGTCATAACGATACAAGCAAAGTCCTATTGTAAAAATACTGTGCACATGCAGCATCAATCAAATTTACAAGATTTTTATTCAAATAATTTCGTGTGTTTTCTAAGCAATGAAAACTTGTTTAGAGACTCTCAGAGATTTGCATCTGCTATGGCATGTAGGTGTGTGTTATGAGTAGGATTGAATAGATATTATTCAAGTTGTGCATGAAGAAAAGATGTTGAGTCCCACAAAAAAATCATTTAAATACATTGTTGTGCATGTTAAACTATGAATAAAGAGATTCCAATAATGTCTTTCATATAGAACTTATCGAGCACGACACCAGAAAGAGAGAATACAATGCCATCTTTATATTTATCCATTGATTGTCAATTAAAATAATAGAAAAATAGATCATTGTTTTCATGAACGGCGTCGATTATATAGATAGACTGAACATATATCTAAATACATATTCACATCTATAAGTCAAAAAATCTAACTGCATGGAGTTGAAAATAAAAATGAAACAGTCATTGGTTACATTAAGTGATTTACCAGATGAAATTCTAATAATGATTTTGAAAAAATTACCTAAGTGTGAAGCAATCTATACTTGTATAGGTCTCAATAAACGGTTCAATAGAATTTTACATGATTCAACTTTTACAAATCGTTTAACATTAATGCCATGTAGGTGGGAGGATTATATTTTTCCATTATGTGACTCAATGCTTGACCAATTTTGTGTACAAATTTTACCCAAAATTCACCATAAAATTCAATGGCTTGAGCTTGAATCATCATCTATGAAACGTAAACTTCTTGCTACCAATTATCCGAATTAATATGGACTTAGTTTATATAATCTTAACTTAAAACGAATTAAAGATCTGTTTGTTGATAAGATATTTCATTTCAATAGCATTAAGTCCTAAGCAAAGCGGAAGTATTGGAGAAAATGAGAACCATTCTACTTCAGATAGTTCCGTTGATCATTGAATATTTTATATTTCACTGTCAAGTATAAATGAGAAAAAAAAATCATTATTCAATTAATTCATAGAAAGATAATGTTAACACAATTTTTTCAGAATTAACATATTTGAAAAAGGTTACTTTTCTCTTGTTCATCTGAAGTACATATTTGAATACCATTCTTAGAATGAAAAAATTATGAATAAAAATAACCAAGTTATAATATTGCTTGTATTTGTTTAAAGAATACAATCAGAACTGTAATGCCTTGAATGGATTGCACATTCTATTTTATGTACATGAGTGAATTGCAATTTGTTGTACCGTCTTGAGAAAAACAAGGAACGAAAAAAAAACTAACACTATAAGTACGACTGTGATATGTGAAAACCATTCACAACCCATAAAAAATACCTCAATACAACTTTTTGTTTTTATGTCAAACAAGCTAGAAAATACGAGAGTTTTGCTTCAGATATTCAACATATCTCTACATTCAAGACTAAGCACATCACTACATAGATGAGAGAATATGAGTAATCTAAACAAGTATCTTTATTTTGATTTTCATTGTGAAATATTTTAAATATGTTTATTTCATATGATACATCGACCTATAGGAATAATAAGAAAAATCTGGTGTAACAATCAAATTTTCAAGTCTTTTTGGCAGTTTTTATCAGCAAGAAATAACAGAATTTTCTCAGACGTTTTAACGGTTTTATTTTCCATTCACAGGCTTTGTTTAAATACCAGTCTGATTAATTTTAGATGGATCGTTCAATACTGGGATTATTTTGAATTTCGCGTACAAGAATGTCCAAGAAAAGTTATAGTTCTCAGATTGAGAACAAAAAATGGAATAAACATTGTTGAAATATCCAATTAATTACATTTTCAGCCTGCTTGAAATAAAATAATCATGCTGTAATAGCTTATTAGAGTAGTGTTTTGAAGAAGCCGAACATTTTCTAAAGAGACTAGACGAGAAAACTATCATTAAAATTCTAGACAATTCTTTTTATTTTCTCGATATTTTTCAATTTTTTTTCCCATACAATCAGGTAAAACACTTTTAAATCGCAATTTGAAAAATCAAATATCATCGCTTGTAATCGATATTAGTAACAATGGATCATCATGTTTAACAAAAGAAATCACTGAACAGATATTTAAATATATTTTTACTACGTTCATCAATTTACAATATTTAAATTTGTTTCCATCGGCATCTTGGTATCAATCATTCTCATTTGATATTTCATCTCCAACTGTTTTCTCAAATTTATTAGAATTGTATGTCACTTTGAATAATTTCGCTGATTGTTTTTATATACTTGATGAACATTTCAATCGACTTCGTATATTCCATGTTAAGATATATTTTATACTGTCATCTCGTTTAGTAATCAAAAATAAAGTAAATTATTTTCTTGAATATCTTACTGAAAAAAAAATTAATAATAATTGCTTTTTTTTGTTTAGGAAAAGCTACCTAATTTAAAATGCTTCTCATTATGCTGTAATTGGATTGTAAATAGTTATGATGAATTAATTGTACCATTTCTACGTCGAATGTCGAATTTGGAAGAACTTGATTTGGATTTTTTAAATTCCTATGAAGAAACATTTATTGATGGAAATAGCTTGAAAAAAATTACCGATCATATGGCACAATTAAACAAATTCATGTTTAATATTCGTTCAGTTATTTCTTTTGATGATGAAATTAATTTACCATCAAATGAAGATATTCAATATACATTTAGAGATTTTAAAAATAATGAAATTATTTCTTGTATTGATTATTTTTTCAAGGAAACAAAAGGTGAATGTCTTATGTATTCAAATCCATATACATTAATAGATTACAATAATATAACAAATAATTTTCCAGGTGGATTATTTAAAAATGTTCGTCGAATATCACTATTTGATGAACATCCTTTTGAACATGAATTTTTTCTTAAAATTGCTCAATCATTTCCATTTTTGAATGAATTAGATTTAAAGAATTATCAACAACAAAAGAATAAACGATGTAGCAAATAAAAAGATTTGGTAACTGTTGAGTTTCCTCATCTTATCCAACTTTCCCTTGAGAAAGTTCATGATGATTATGTTCAACAATTTTTAATGAATACTAAAACCTGTTTATCAAACAAAGTTTCACTTCATATGGATTATGAACAACTGAAGAAAGTGACATATAATTTTAGAAGAGATACAACATGAATAAATTGTTCAAAAATTACATATTTTTATAGTAATGATGTTCGTCGAATTCCAAAACATTTCAAAGACTATTTTCTTTGCACGCATGCTTCTGATTCAATAAATAATACAATTCTATGAATTACTTGTATTTCACTATAGAAGAAAATTGTTTTATATACAATTGTAAATTCATGAAAATCTATTTGTATGTATCATTATGATGAGATGCGCAAATTCAATTGATGAAACAATTATTAGAATGAAGTTATTTTGTAAGAATGTGGATGTGTGGGCATCGGTTTGGATGTGTTTATTATGTTCTCACATCCTCAAGTATTTATAATTATAGATTTAGTAAGATATGTCTTGTCACGTTTTTTAAGAGTAAATCCGATGTTTTGTCACCACAATAGAAGAAAACGTAGTTGTATCTTTTATAAATCGAAAGCTCTTTAAAAGGCTCATATAACTAGACATGTAAAACCCTTAGCAAGCGACGAAGGCGAGTTTACTCATGTTAAAATAAGTTTTACAGTCTTTATATGTGTGGATCAATGAAAACATATTTCATTAAGAAGAAAATGATAGAAGTTCTTTGGGAAAAAAAACCAAAGTGTCAAATAAAAAATCACGTCAGTTTTGAAAGATAAGACGTTGAACTATCTTCCTCTGTACTTATCTCAATATTCGTGGTTTTCACCAAAAAATCGACTTTTTTAAGGAGGATAGGTTTTGTTAATTTTTCGAAATTTCATCTATTAGTCGTAGTGAGACAAATGCTGGTTTCTTTTATTTCTCTACGAGGAGTACGATCTACCGTAATACGCCAAACCATTCTAGTGAAAAAATGAAACCAACCTATAAATAGATTCCTTTTGCCAGTAAAGAATAATTTATCAATCAAACCATTTTATCTAGAATAAATATATTGTTCGACCTTTAACAGGAGATTTTTTGTAAAAAAAACAACGATTCAGGTCATTCTGTTTTACATGCTAATAGTTATTAAAACGATCAATTCAATGATTTATCATTTCCTGTCTCGGATCCTATGGGCAAAATCTGTTCAAATTATATTATTCATTATTAAAGATGTTTGCCAATAAATATGACACAATATATCTCGAACATCTACTTACAAAAATGAAACAAAATACGATTTTTTTAACAATTAATTGTTCATAAAATAGTCTACAACAAACATGCGGTTAGTTGCCAATGATGGACCTCTTTCTCTTTCAATGATTATTTCTTCTAACGTCAACACGAGTAAACAATTTTAATTAAACAGCTTAATGCATACTTATATAAAAAAAAATCTGGAAAATATTTTCTTTTGACAAATTTTATATGAAATATATTTCTATTAATTGAAAATTAATCTAATAAAGTATACAAATGTTAAATACTATCATCATCAAACAATAATATAAGAGTAAATTTGCTCCTTAAACCCAATTAATCACATATGCAGAAAAGGATAATCGAAAATCTATGTCGAATTCATTCATTCGAAGGGTGTAGGTGTCTGGATGCAAAAGACCTCATCTCAAGCCGACAACCAACCACATCCTTATTTGAATGAGTTTCTCGAATGAAGCATTAGTCTATCTCAGTTATTGCTTAGTCTGTTACTCGAGATATTCTTCGTTTTTATTGATTCATCAAATCTCTTTATCATCAATGTATGAAGCGAATACAGTAAAAAGTTCGACTGAGATACTCGACTTAGTAGTTTCTTTTTTGAAAAAAGTCATAAGACAATTAAAGTTCAAAAACGATTTGTGTTTGTTATTGGTCGGACCCGATTGTTGTCGCTTATTAGAAAACCATGTGCTAAATTGAAACACTCGGCAAGGCTTTGTCGAAGATTTGGCGTAAGACGGAAGAGTATAATAATCAGAAAAGCGAACGCTAGATTTCCAATCATGAATACGACTCGCATACAATTATGAGGTAAAATATCGGAACGAATTATGCTCACTATCATAATAATAATCGCTGGAATGTCGATAATAGCCAATTGAAAATTGATTAATACGATGCGATGTACCATTGTCAAGTCTCGATGCATTTTTAACTGATGATTGCCATCGATTCTCGTTGAGACTTGACGTACATACCTTACTAAAGAACGATATAAAATAGCAAGAGCAATATCTGATAAAATATATATGA